CCCCACACACACAAACACACACACACGCGCTCACTATTTTTATATATTGCGAGTGAAAACATTGTTCGAAGCAGGTAACGGTTTGGAAATTTGTTTAGCTGCAGTCACAACTTTTCTAAATCAGGAAAGCCGCGGGAAGCCCCCTACATCCCCCCCGCTCCCTCTGAGAAGGAAGAGGACATTTTCAGCGGAGCTGTCCAGAAGGGCATCAACTTCGACAAGTACGATGACATCCCCGTGGAGGTGAGCGGCCGGGACCAGTGTTGCTTCATCAGCACGTTCGACGAGGCCGGCCTCTACCCGACCTTCCTGCGCAATATCAAGAGGGCCAAGTACGAGAAGCCCACCCCCATCCAGAAGTATTCCATCCCGATCATCACGGCGGGCCGAGACCTGATGGCCTGTGCTCAGACTGGCTCGGGGAAAACCGTGAGTCTTGTCGTCATTGTTGTCTCTCAGTTGTGTCACTTTTCCTGATAAATCTGGAAATCTGGATTTCTTAATTTGTCCGTATTTTGTATTGTGTATTTTCAAAAGTGTTTATTCTAGTTGTCTTTTGTAAAAGGAATGTGCTTTTTCCACAGGATCTGAAAAGTTGGCGTTTTTAGAATTAAAAAAATTTTGTATCCAGTTTGCGCACTTTTGTCGATTAATTGCTGATGGTAGGTTTTAATTCATTTGTCAACATATTTGTGTTGCAAGTGCCATAAAACTCTTACTAAAATTTAAAACATCTGTCATTATTATGTCTCCTCTTCCTTTTCCTTGTATATTTTCTCTAGTAACACCTCTAATCTACAGCACTTAAATGATTACATGAGGCCAATTTGTGTTGCCAGCGCTGTAAAACTCTTGCTAAAACTAAAGACATCTGTCATCAATATCTCTTTTCTTTTTCTTTGGGTGTTACTCCTTAGTAACCTCTCTAATCTTCGGCACCTATATGAGACCCAATTTGTGTCTCGGGTGCCGCAAAACTGACTAAAACTAAACTAAAAATGGCCTGGATGCTTTATTTCGGAATGATGTTAACAGGGTTAAGATGTGTCTTGGTAAACTTGAAAACTCTTGAAATTTTGGGAAATTGACAAAAGTCTTGGAAATGTAAAAAATTCTAAAACCTCCTCGAATTTTAGAAGCCCCCGACTTAATGCATTCTGAAGTCTACCATAATGTATTTTTGCATGCTGAACAAAAAATTTTCTTCCGAAATGACACGTTATTTGTCTTTGGGAAAAAAGAAACCTGGTCTTGAAAACTTTGGGGGGAAAAATCTCCTGCTCTGCATGAACCTTGCGTTAATGGGTTTTTTTTCGTTTTTTTCTCCAGGCGGCCTTCCTCCTGCCCGTGCTGACGTCGATGGTGACCAGCGGACTGACCACAGACAAGTACCAGGAGGTCCAGCTCCCCCAGGCCATCTGCGTGGCCCCCACCAGAGAGTTGGCCCTGCAGATCTACAACGACTGCCGCAAGTTCTCGTATGAGACGGAGGTCCGGGCCGTGGTCCTGTACGGCGGGACCTCGGTGGGCTACCAGATGCGCCAGGTAGAGAACGGCGCCAACTTTGTCATTGGCACGCCAGGAAGGCTGCTGGATGTGATCAACCGCGGGAAGGTGAGTGGGCTAGATTGGGGTTTGGGGGGGGGTGTGGCTGGCTTTATCTGAGAAAGAAATCACTAAGTTAACCTGTGTTTTGTCTGTTTATTTAGGTGTGCTTGTGGTCTTTGGAGCAGGTGCAGATTTTGTCTTTTTTTTTATAAGTTGATAGATGCCCTGTCCAGTTCTTTTTTGTAAAACAATTGTCCTTAATGTTTCTGTGGGATTGTGGTCTGACGTGAATTGTTCCTTCTCACCTGTCCAATATCTATCGTTCTTATCTTTCCTCCTTGTATGTTTCTTTCTGAAAACCTCTAAGGGCGCCCATATGACCGTACGCAGTTGCGAGCACAGTAAAACTCTTACTAAACTAAAAAACCTCTAACCTTCGGCATTTGTGTTGCCTAATTCATCTCGCAAGTGCTATAAAATTCTTACTTTAACAAACCATCATCATCATCCCTGTAAATTGTATTGTCTGCTTTGTCTACAGATCAGCCTGAGCAAGTGTTCGTTCCTGATTCTGGACGAAGCCGACAGAATGCTGGACATGGGATTTGAACCAGACATTCGGAAGCTCGTGGAGACGATGGGCATGCCGGCTAAGACAGAGAGACAGACACTTATGTTCTCAGCCACTTTCCCCGAGGAGATTCAGAAGTTGGCTGCAGACTTTTTGAACGATTATCTGTTTGTGACGGTGGGTCGAGTCGGAGGAGCCAACACAGACGTGACACAGAACTTCTTCGAAGTGGACAGGTTGCAGAAGAGAGATTCCTTGTGTGATATCTTGAACGCTGGAGGTAAATTATGCTTTTGTTTTTGTGCTGTGGGGTAAAGTTTCATTATCACTGCAATGGTGTATATGCAGTTGTGACCGCCGTAAAACTTTTTTCAAACCAAACTAAATGTAATGGTGCAGGTCAGTGGGTGGCAAACTCTATCGCACAGAGCGCCTAACTCTTTATCACACATAAGGTTGTAGGCTCAACTGGATAAACATTTATTAAGCAGTTGAAAACTTTAGATGTAAATTAAAACAGAACAAATTTGAAATAATAAGAAATCAAGGCCTACCTATTTTCTCTCTTTTGTCCGAACTGGATTGAATGTTGGACCTCTTTTCCTAGCAATAAGTCTGTTTCTGTTTAGAGTCAGGTTTTAGATGGTTGGCGGGTGCTCTGGTTTGGTTTGCTCCTTCTTTCCTATCGAACATCTACTGTCCTGATCTCTCCTCCTTTTTTGTTTTTTTTTACTCTCTTGTATCACCTCTAATCTTCGGCACTTATATGGCCCTGTTGTGTTGCAAGTGCCGTAAAACTCTTACTATACTAGAGTCAGATTTCGTGTTATAAAGATTCTCAGGGTGGACTGCCTAACTCCCGCAGGCCAGATCTAACTGTTTGCGGAGCTGGATGCGGCCCACAGGCCTTGAGTTTGTGGCCTGTTGTGTGGGTGAAGTCGTATTGTACAATCCAGCACACGCGTAGAGGGAAATTGGTGGGACTTGGAAATCTTTTCATTATGCATGAATTTCATTATTCACATGTTTTGAATTCAAAGAAATGCATGTGTTGGACCTGAAAATTGGTCTGCTTTGTGCTTGCCATGCTGTTTATGTTTCACTTTTATCTGACTTTGTTAGGTAAAAGTCGTGGATATGATAGTGGGTAGTTGGGTTGGCGGGTAGTTTGCTCCTTTTT